TCTTTCTCATTCTTTAATTATATTTTATGGCCAGGCATGTTAGTCCTTCGGTATGATGTGGATGAGCTATTAGAGAAAAAGATTCATTATTGGAAACTTCAAAGAAATGAAGAACAGTATGGAAAATTAATATGGCCATTTCTTTCAATAGGTGACTAAGAGTCAAGCCTAATTCCCCTCGGCATAGTGATGCACTAAAATCATTTTAACAAGTATACTAATCGCTCCAAGTAATATAATGATAAGGAGAGTGTCAAACCCATGAGAATGGTGATTAACTAAATACTAAAATAATTAATCTAAATTTATTTGAACAATTAAAAAGGAAGAAACTTTAATTAAAAATAATAAAAATAATAACAATTAAAATAAAACTAATCAAAATATGAGATACTAAGGCATTGATTTCACTATAATTAATCAATATAAATTTTGGATTAATATACTTCTAAAACCAATTTATTGAGTATTATTGCATATGATGACGGATTTCCCTAAATTAACTAACTAACTTTCTCAAGTCAAATTAATGCTTCACTTGTTTATTAAATTAGTCATATCTCTATATAATTTTAAACAAACTTAAAAAGGAAGAAACTTTAATTAAAAATAATAAAAATAATAACAATTAAAATAAAACTAATCAAGATATATATGAGATACTAAGGCATTGATTTCACCATAATTAATCAATATAAATTTTGGATTAATATACTTCTAAAACCAATTTATTGAGTATTATTGCATATGATGGCGGATTTATCTAAATTAACTAACTAACTTTCTCAAATCAAATTAGTCCTTCACTTGTTTGTTAAATTAGTTATATCTCTATATAATTTTAAACAAACTAATGAGTATTAAATTTTATGGAAACCTCTAGTTTAAGAAGGGGGAGCTCTTAATTTTCTTCTCTTCCTCCACTCCCACGCGTGACACTAATTATCTTGCGATCCCATAGTCTAACACACAATTTATATTATTATTAATTTAATTTACGTAATTCCTTCTCAAGTTCATGCATAAATCACTAAATCAATTGAAAGGTGATCAGATTTTCATGCATTAAATTTAATAATATAAATTCATCATGCGAATAATTTTGATTGAAAGTATAAAAATCCAAAATCTATAATAAATTGATTAGGTTATATCATAATCTTAGTAGAATAAATTATTTCATAATAAAAATAATAAAATTTGAAATAATAATTATGAATATAAGAATATAAAAGAAGAATAAAACCCAATTTAATAAAATTGAAATCTTTGATCTTTTATTGTTGGTGAATTTTTTATTTTGATCTCTAAAAATACCTAAAAAAAGGTTGTCCCCAACCCCTAAAGTTCCTTTAAATCTGAATTTGAATGAGTATTTATAAAATTTTAGAAACCTAATTGGAATAAAAGTAGGATCCACACTCAAAATAATATATTAAACACGAATTTTATTAAAATCGAATAAAGGGTCAACACCTTCAACAAGGTGCCGACACCTTCTGTTAAGCACACAATATCTCCGTACGGGGTTTTTGGCCTTCTAAGTAATTTCTGTTAATAATAAAATGACAATTCTTGTCCTTGACTTCTAGATTTTGCACAAGTTAATCCTCATGTTTCTGACCTTTTCAATTTGCTCTTAAAAATTATGATTTCTTCCAATTAAATCCTTTTTTGCACAAAGAATAAAAATTATATAAAATCAAGTAAAATCTCCTAAAATTCATTCAAATATCAATAATATCAAAACAAAAATTCCACATTAATATCTATATAAATTTAGTTTATCACGTAGTTGCTAGCCTTGAATATGGTTGTTCTGTTTTACAATGGTCATAACAAAGCTAACTGTTGATTACTCATGAAGTGAAGACCTTTACCAATCAACTAGTCACAGGTAAGTAGAAAGGTCAAGCTTCATGCTATTCTCACATTCAAGGTTCTGTATATTGAGAATGTTTCTTCATGCTAGGTAAGTTTTACATCTAGAGTTTCAATCCCTACAATATTTTCTTCAATCTTTGTTACTTTCATTTCTTCTGTTCAAAAATTAAACCTCATTCACCATACAAAAATGAAATAGAAAAGGACCATAAGAAAATTTCAAACTTTCCCTTAGGGAATGTCCCAACAATGAGAACTTGAGACATCTAAATTGGAAGTCTAGGGTTAAACTCTTGGGACTGATGGGAATGGGTTTGGGAAAGGAGTAAAATACCTTCTGTATAGCCTACAATCAGATGTACCAAAAAAGAAAGAAGTAAAAAATGGTAAACACAAACTGGATAGCAAACACATACCTTTTACAACACAAATGCTTTCACCACTTTTTGGATTCCTTATTCTCAAGGTTGCATCATCAGAGCCAGTACAGATTGTTTAACCTTAAGCACCAGAGGAAGCACACAAGCAAGTATTTTACTAATTGTAAAGTCATACCTCAATGCCTCCTCCTGGACCATCAAATCGGTGTATGAGGTTTCCTGATGACCCCCAAATTTGAACAAGTCCATCAAACCCTCCAGATGCAAGCAACTACCCATCAGAACTAAAGGTTAAACTAGAGGTAGAATCACAATGACCTGCACAGAAATTCTAAAAAGATTAGTTAATAAAAAACCAAGCTTGAGGCATCAAACTCAAACATTTTTTTTTTTCATCCCTTTTACTAATTAGGATTGGAAGGCACTAACAGACGAATATGGTAAAAAGCTAAGGTCTAGATTGAGAGCATATGCCAGCTTGGACCCATATCCCTTAGAGTTCGGAAGCCCAATCTCCTTTACCAATCCTCCAAGGAAACCCTTTATCATCTCTGCCACCAGTTGTAACTAGTGTAAGATTTGTTGGGCTACAAGTAACTGCATAAATCTCACTAGTGGAGAGAAAGTGAGGATCTTCAAATTCTAGCACAATAACACAATCAATATTGATTTTCAAAAGAAACAATTGAGTGTGAAACTTGAAGCTATCCCTGTATTCCAAATCTACATCAGGTTTAAAATATCAATCAAAAGGGCACCTTATATCATTTTACATATGTCATTGTTAATCATTTAATATTAAGTAGTGACAGTTTATATTATATGATTAAATAGTTACATCAATTAAACGATTGTTATCCATTGTTTACTATGCATCCACTATTTGTTAGATATTTCTAGCTGTACCAAACGCACCCTTAAATTTTTTTATATGTTTTTAATTGTATGACATTAAGACTATAATTTATTTTCTATTTATATAGATGGACAGATTAAAAACAAGAATAAAAAGAAGAAGAAGAAGAAACTAACCATCCTCATATCAAGGAATAACCTTTTTGGAAGCATCCTTGTTATTCTAAGTCATTATTAGACGAGCATCTATTTTTGAAACACATACGAGAAGTTGTTTGACACCTTCATA